TCGTAGTATTATACTGCGAATTACAAACATGACAACTCCACAAAACGTAGTATTATACTACGAATTACATAGACATGACAACTCCACGAAACAGGGTTTTCACATGCTTTTCAGCTTTTTCAGAACGAAATGACAACTCCGTAAAACGTAGTATTGGAGTACGAATTACTTATTAAATTTCTCTGACACAAATTCGCAGTATTCAACATGCTTTTCAACTTTTTCAGAACGAAATGACAACTCCGTAAAACGTAGTATAATACTGCGAATTACATATTAGACAACTCCACAAAACGTAGTATTATACTGCGAATTACATATTAAATTTCTCTGACATGAAACAGGTTTTTCACATGGTTTTCGACATAACATTTTAAATTTCCACATGACAGCTTTAGACTTGCATATTTCGACATATTTTTTATTGAAACAGAATTTGAACAAGAAACATAATTTGAACATGATTTTATTAGAAAATGAAACACAAACACAAAAGCGGGAGATCTAAAGATACATGACAGTACAACTGCTACAAACACATGACAATGGAAACATGAAAATACACTACTACGCTTATTAAAAATAAGCTACTATTTAATCACGATCGTGTCTTACAATTCGCTCCAACCACTCGAGTTGCTCTTCCAGGTTTTTTTTTCTCTTCTTCTGCCTCGTTGAGTTTGGCCTTCAACGCCTCAAGTTCTTCATTGGTTCGACGCTCGCTCTCCGCTTGGCTATGACATAAACAATGAAGCTCATAAATTCTTTCTTTGTAGCGCTTTTGCTTACATGGTTCGTCCATCCAAACCTCAAAGTCACATGTAGGCTTGCCGGGTAACTCCTCGAGCTTGTTCTTACATGCCCAGTAGCGGCGTGCACCTTCTGGATACCATTTGAACAAACTGCATTTTTCTCCGCAGTAGCACCTTGGGACATAAACGTTTTGTGCAGACATTTCTTATAGAGAAACTTTGGTTATTGTTAAGCGAAGAATATAAGTACCATGCAACCGTTATTTATAGTCAAGATTTCAAACAAAAACGTAGTATAATACTGCGAATTACATAGTAAATTTCAATGACTTAAAACAGAGTTTCCACGTGCTTCTCAGCTTTTTCAGCAGGACATGTCAAATCCACAAAACGTAGTATTATACTACGAATAACATATTAAATGACCCTGACACGAAACAGGGTTTTCACATGCTTCTCAGCTTTTTCAAAATAAAGGACTAGGGGTATTCTTGATAGTTGGGTACATTGGACGAACTTGCACCAGGATTACCACCGCCATGCCCACCACCTGAAGGACACTTACGACGGTCATGTCCAATTTGAGAGCATATGCCACATTTACGCGCATAAACGGACTCACCAACATCCATTTGGTTCGGTATACGCATTCTCTTTTGCACTTTCAGCTTGCGCAAATAGTCCTTGTTACATACCAACTTAAAAGGTTCCGGCGGCCAATAATGCTCAGCACCTAATGGATGCAACTTCCCACTATACGTGTCTACGTATGCTGCAACACTGTATTGCCTATCAATGTAGTTTGTTGCCCCATATCCAACTTGTTGAAAGTACTTCAATACATGTGGGCACGGCATGTGGTAGATGGTCCATTTCCCACATGAACATAACCTTCTATTTTCATTCACCGTCTGTAGATTATTCCCACGGTGTCCGTTGATAGCGGTCTTAACTTCAAAAACACCCCGTTCATGATCATACTGAAGAAATGAATGCCACTGTGCCCGCCTCCTGTACCTTTCAAATCTTGTCATGGGTATTGGCATAAATTCAACACCCCTATCCATCAATGACGATGCAGCTGCATGCCTTTCAACAAACCTCTCTGCACTCAGTTTGAAAGTCATGCGGACCATGGCAGTGACAGCAGTCCACGGGCAGACTTCAACAAGCCGTTGAATGACTCCGACACGTTTGTAGTGAGGGCTCCCCATCGTCTGCCGCCATCAGCATGCAATGTCCACATTTGAGGGTCATGTTGCATCAACCAAGTATAGGCTCGTGGTTCTATCTGCCGGATCGCTTCCATGCGCCTCGTGAATTTACACTGCTGGTGCTCAGTTGCAGCCATCCACATTAAGTCATGCAACGCCTTGTCAGGAAATTTCTTCTGGAAATTGACCTTCAGGTGCCTCACACAGTAACGGTGGTATGCATATGGTTCCTGCCATTCAGGCAGTGACGTACAGAACTTAAAATACCACCATGCCGATCAGATATTAGACAAATACCTGAACGCTGTTTGACAACGTGCTACTTCAAGTGGTTCAAGAACTGCGTCCACGTCTCTTCACTTTCGTTGGCACAAATGGCAAAAGTTAGTGGAAATATTTGTCCGTTGGCATCTACAGCAACTGCAATCAAAAGCTTAATATCATACTTTCCATAGACATGAGTACCGTCTATGGAAATTACAGGACGGCAATGCACAAAACCATCAATTGCTGGTTTAAATGACCAAAATACATAGTTGAATATATATTCCGGTCTGTCCAGACTTCGCTCACGCCTCCATTCAACAACAGTCCCGGGGTTAAAGTGTTGCAGTGCAGCCATGTACCTGGGCAGATTTGAAAAAGACTTATCCCAGTCGCCATAAATAAGTTCAAAGGCACGTTTGCGACCGAGATATGCCTTTCTTTTAGTTATAGTACAACCATACTCCTGGTGGACGGCTGTAATACACTCTTTAATCTTGAACCTAATGGACACTTCCAAAAATGGAATCAAGACAAGGGAAATCAAGTCCACATCCAAGTTGAAGTGATTCTCATTGAATGTGTCCATTTCACATCTGTGCTTGCTAATAAATTTACCCACTTTCCACAAATCTGATTTCTTCTTTGTGGCACGCAGCATCCAGTGACAACCCATAAACCACCTACGGCATACAACCTTGTATTTCTCCGTAGTTGACTCACTTACCGTCATCTCACGACACTCCCTTATACTGTAGATTTTTATAGCCCTAACTAGGCGAGCTTTATCGGGGAAATACATGCCCTTTGTAAGAACAGCTGGTCTAGATTCATCCCACATCACTGACCGTAATTCATCATCATCCCTTGTTAGGGCATCAACATTAGGCATGCTTGACAAATTATCAAGGTAGGGAATATTTCGCTCATGAAATGGCACGCGGGACTCATACACTCTTGGTCTAGCGGGAGGTGGAGGAACATGCTCCCTAGTCAGCTCAGGTTCAACATTCACTTCCTCCTCCTCATCATCACCCTCATCATGGAAGGGTGTCTCATCCCTTGACTCATCCGCATTGTTGTCATAATCACTATCATCCTCCTGACTCTGCGCATCTGCCAAATCACGAGTAAAAACGTCGTCTATGGGCAACTGTGTGAGGCCAGGAGCTTCAAGAAGCTCGTTTTCACTGCACAAAACGAACAAAAACCTAAGTTACCCAATACTCAGGAAAAATACTTTAGATATCGCTATATCACTTTACTTACAAATCGTATTGTCTTGACGTTTCATGATGGATATTTTCAGGTTGGTGATAACTCCCAGATGGACCACCGTGGTCCAATACTCCAGACCTACGCAAATTTCAACTAGGGGTGAGGTCATAACTTGTAAAATTCAAATCCGGACGGTACCCCCTATAAAAAATATGAGTGTTAATACAAATCCAATTAAAACATGAAAAAAAATCGCTAAAACGTAGTAAAATTGAAGTTTACCAGTCGTCTTGTTGATTATATAAAGTGGAAACATTATTTTCTGGCTGCTCATTCGCCTGTGGTGACAAGTTTAAATCAAGGCAAGCTCTTTCATCTCCAATCTGTCCGGCAAACGCTGCTCCAGAATAACCACCCGATGACTGGGGGTTATCCCTGCTATGCACGCCCTCATTACTAGGAACGTCTTCCACCTTGACGTACATTTCCAATAATTTTATTACAATAAATTCCCTGTATTCATCCGGAATCCGCAAAAAATCTCTAAGAGTTTCATCATCCTCGATGTTAAACTCAGAATAATAAGCAAACCCCTGTGGAGTCACTGAATAAGAAAATCTACCGGTTACTTTAAGGTTAACCGAACGCCTCCGCTCACTCATTTTTTTTACGTAGCAACGATACCAATGTATCGTACTCCATATTAAGCGGCAATTTAACATGACACTGTGGAGGTGAGCTATACCTCACAGAGTTATTTTCCACCACAATCTCACCCCCCCAATACAGTGAAACCCTTATTTTTGGCACTTCAGACATTGTACAAAATTGATTGAAAAGGAGAAGAGAGAATAAACGTATGTTTGAAGTTTAAGTGTTGAATGAATTTTTATAAAATTGAAGCGCCTATGAATAAGGCAAGTCCGACCTTGGGGTGTACAATTTTTCAAAGTAATTCGCAGTATTATACTGCGTTTTATGTATTTGAATTATTGTTATGTCAGTTAATTATTGGTGGGGCCTAAAATCAGCCTGTTTCGCAGTATTGTACTACGAAATGTCATAAAAAATTATTTTTTTAATATTTCGCAGTTTTATACTGCGAAATGCCTTAACGGCAAAATATCCGTTAAGCCAATTCGCAGTATAAAACTGCGAAATACCCATTATTATATCTTTTTTTTTTTACATCAAAAATATATTTTATGTTCAAAAAATTATTAATTAAGTTTTGGACTCCTCCTTACCATGTCTCACTGAGATTCCTTTCTTTATTTCAAAATATTATTCTGTGGGGAGGGGGTGTTTATCTCCCACCTCATGCCTGCCCTTTCCTCGTATTTCACTCCCAGTTCCCATGACAGTTTGTGGGGTAGCTTATGTTTTCTCTTTGTCAGATTCTTGTACTATGTCCAAGTACTAGAAGCTAAACAATTTTTTCAGAAAAAAAAAAAATTCTCCGAAAAGAACAAATCAATGTTCCGCAGTATAAATGAACTTTTACACTATCAAGTCATTTAAAATAAAATTACACAGATGCGCTAAATCTGTCAATCCTCATTTTCCTACCTACCAACTAACACTTTAAAAGTGCATGCCTACTTTGCTTTCCATTTTCAGATGAAGACAATCATGGCAAAGAATTTCCAAGACCTGTCCTCCAAGAAGCAGTTCAACTGGACAACTACAGTCAGCATTGAAGAACAACAACAAGTAGCAGAAGATCCATTCCTTAAAGCCTCCTCAAACACAAACAACACTGAAGATGGAAAAGCAGACAACACAAAGTTATCTCCTTTAAAACATCCAGAAATCTCAACCTCCAAATCTTCTTCCTTAAACACTATTCATGGAAACAAGATAGAGGACAAGAAGTTAATTCAAGAATCTGCTCCAACAAGGAGGAAAGCAGTGGCCAGGCTGAAATCTGTACTAACATCACTTGGTAGAAACAAAGGATATTTCCAACAAGGCCTAGGAACTAAAGTTGTGGGCACCCTTTTCGGACACAAGAAAGGACATGTACATTTTGCATTTCAGAAAGATTCTAATTCAAAGCCATACTTCTTGGTAGAGCTAGCCACCCCTATAAGCGGATTAGTCCGCGAAATGGCATCCGGATTGGTTAGGATTGCATTGGAATGTGACAAGGAGGAAGAGAAGAAATCAACTAGACTCATAGATGAGATTTTGTGGAGGACTTATTGTAATGGGAAGAAATGTGGCTTCGCAACAAGAAGGGAATGTGGTCCAAAAGAATTACAGATTCTGAAAGCTGTGGAGCCAATATCAATGGGTGCTGGTGTTTTACTAGACTCAGGGGATGTGATGTATATGAGGGCAAAGTTTGAGAGAGTAGTGGGGTCTAGAGATTCAGAGGCATTCTATATGATGAATCCTGATAGTGATGGAGCTCCTGGACTTAGTATTTACTTGCTCAGAGTTTAAGCATCCATGCCAAACTCGACTATTTATAGTCTTAGATAAATAAATTTTCCTCCTTTTTTTCTGTTAATATGTAGTTTGATTGAGACGAGCTTAAATGGAGCGACATAGATAGTGAGAGTTTATATAGCCGACCTCACTTGCTTGGAATTGCGACTTTGTTGTTAAATATGTAGTCCTTTCTAGAGCCAACTACATGGAGAAATATCCATGTTGTGTTCTGTTTGAAAAGAAAATCCGGTTAGAAAATGGAAACTGGTTGATGTATTTCTTTTTTCTTTCTTGGGTGGAATGGAAGATATTATATGTTACTGATTATCACCAAATTTTACTTGCAATTTGATCACCAGGCATAATGTCCCAATATAGCTAATGACTTACTGCATGATCAGAGATGACACATACCTATTTTCTCAGGTTGTCATGATTGCTTTAAAATTGTTCATTGTGTTTGCTTTCTTTATTCTCAGTTGATGTCAGTGTTCTTGGCTTTATAAACTTGTATATTCATAAAATACAATGTTGGAATTACCCTACTGCTTATTTTACCCTCTGAAGCACATTCTGATAATTAGTTGAAATTGTTGTTTTCTGTCCCTACACACCACTAAAAATTAATGAATCTTTAACATCTCATTCATATTAACAGTATTTGTGCTGCTAGAAAATAACAGGTACCTGGTAAAATAGTTGATGTTCGAAAATCACGTTATCAAAGAAAAAAGGGGCGTGCGCTGTATGTGAAAATATGCATACAGGCAGTGGTGGAGGTAGCATTGATGGTACGGGTTCGGCTGAACCCAGTCACTTTGGTCCAAACCTTCTATTTGTTTAAAAAAAATTCATTTACTATGTATAAATTATTAATTTAGAACCCAGTAACTTAAAAAATACTATAATTCCGAACCCATAAACTTTAAATAGTGGCTCCGCCTCTGACGGGGGCAACGTTTTACCTTTTGCAGATGTGAACTATGGTCATCTTTGAGTCATTCAAACATCTAATGCTGTGGATGTTTTTCTCTTTACTTATTTTCTTGACTGCTTTCCTCTAATTTTGAAAGATTTGCAACGTTCCTTTTCCTGGGCTTCTCATTTAAAGTGTTTAATTGTCACATGTTCCAATCATTGATTTTGGTCTAAGCTTGATTGAAGTAATAACATGAGAATCCCAAGAAATTAAACTGTGTGTTAAATCAGACTTTATTTAAAAACAAGAATTAGAGGACAAATATTTCCTCTTTGAAATTGGTCCCGCTGTTAGAAAGGGTAAACACCGTTCAAACAAAGAAATACATTTGTAAAAGAGTTTCCTTCTCTTAGTTAGAAAATACGGACAGGTCCCCTATTTAGAAGCTTATTAAATTAAAGAGCTCAATCGAGAATGGTAAAGAAATAAACAACAAAGGGGTAAGTAATCTATGATAAGATTGGAACTAAATTGCACCCAGAGTATGGCCCAGTGGTCAATGAAACAAAGGGATAATCACAAAATATAAAGTTCAAATTTCAAGACAAAAATTACTAGTCTTCTCATCTACCGAACATGTTGTATGATGGAACAGTCGAAATGTACGCAAATTGACTCGAACACCACTATAATTAAGAAAAAAGATCTGAAATAAATTGAGGTGGTTTGGCATTAATCGCTCAAAGAATTTTTAGCAATATGGCATGCATCATTCCTCTCCAAGTTTCAAGGCTTTCCTTTCTCTTTTGTTTGTGTTGGCTATCCTTTATTAAAAGCGAAAAGGAGAAAGTTAGGCTAGGATTAGACATCTTAGACCATCTTCAACTCTAACACCAAATTTCACTCCAAAATGGTGTAACACTAAATTTATTCCAACCATTACACTATTTTTTATACCCAAAAATAATATTTCTTCTCTCTCTTCTATATTATATTATTATCTTCTAATTAAATTTCATTTTTTATTTCCTTCAAACAAATACTATCTTTTTTCTTTTTTCCATATTCATTATATATAATTCACATTCACCACTTATATAATCATTTATTATAAAATTATTTTAAAGGATAAATCAACTAAAAGTGAAATCATTGATAAAAGATAATTAAATAAATATTACATCATAGTCAAATTTAACTTAAGTACCACATAAATATTCAACTTTCGCCTCTATTCTCCCATAAATGCTCGATTAATGCATTACGAAGTGCGAAATGCGCATCTTTATCCTTAATTTGTTTTGTGTCGAGCTAAAAATTGTTCAAATCGGTGATCTTCATCTACTACCATTTCTACCGTAGGAGCTGGACATTCACGTGCATCTTCAATTGGTGCATTAAGATCACGCTCGTCCTCAATTATCATGTTGTGCAGTATAATACATGTGGTCATTATATCATGTAGCACCTCTTTTCTCCAAAAACGTGACGGACCTGCAACAATTGCAAAACGAGATTGCAAAACTCCGAATGCACGTTCAACATCTTTTCGACATGATTCTTGTTTCATTGCAAAATATCTCTTCTTCGCTGAACGTGGCTCCCGAATAGTTTGCACAATAGTAGACCATTTTGGATATACCCGTCAGTTAAATAATAACCTATGTCATATTCTTTTCTTTGAATAACATAACACGCTGGAGGAGCAATACCATTAGCGAGATTGTAGAATAAATGTGATGATTCTAAAACATTAATGTCATTGTTGGTGCCGGGCATACCAAAATATGCATGCCATATCCAAAGGTCGTAATCAGCTACAGCTTCAAGGATAATTGTTGGGATCCACTACGACCTGCATATTTTAACAAAATTAGATATCTTACATTTGCATTTTTTATTTTTAAATAATGGTTATATTTCTTTTTATACAATTATAATAATAATAAAATTAACTTATAATTTTATATAAATATAATATATACAAAAATTAATATATCAAATAAATAGGATATAAAATTAAAATTATAAAGATCTTAATATAAAAATTAATTATATACACAATATATGATAAATTAAAAGTCCAAAAACTAAAAAGATGAATAAAATAATAATAAATCAAATTTGGTGTGATGAATAGTGTTATACCAAATTTGGGGCAACATTATTCATACACTATAATGGTGCAAGATTTGATGTTCCATTGGAGCAAAAAAAAACACCAAATTTTACATCAAATTCGAATTTGATGCAAAATTTGGTGCAGCCTTAGAGATGCGTTAGTCTATGAGGCATTGTTTACAACTTAAAGGAAATGAAAGAGATCATATTAAGATTACATCCACAGTAATCGATCTTTTCTCTTGATCATGGTGTTATCATTGTACAAAGATTCAAAAATTGTTTGCCGCAAATAAAGCTTAGCTTTGCTGCTTTACTTAATCTAATCAATGCTGGTCACAGATCACAAACTAAAGAGTCACTTTTTTTTTTGCTGTACGTGTGTTTACCTCGAAAATACGAGTAACAATTAAACTTGTTTGTGGTTTTAAAGATACGTGATTTAGTTCAATACTAATTAATAACCAAGAAATCAGACGTATTAAAGAAGAAAGTTGAATCAAACCAGTGCTGAAGCAAGTTTTGACCTCAAGCTAGACTGCCTCGAGGTAGGTCAGCAAGAACAATAAAGTAAAGACAATAAAGTTAAGAGACAATTCTGATGAATAATGAGCAAGAAAGTAAGAGAGTATATTCTTTTGCCAATGATTGATTGTCGTTACAAATTATTGGGGTCCCCTTTATATAGTAGGGGAACCCTAAAAAAGGTACATTTCTATTTTCAGTAAAGAATCTTATTGGGACAACTGTCTAACCGCCTAGTACGGATTCGTACTAACTCGTACAAATCTATTCCGGAATTTACTTCAATCTTCAAACCTCCTCCAAACTTCTTTTATATCTCCTTCTCTTCATCTCTTTTCTCTCATTACCCGCTACTCCCGTTCCTTTTAGTGTCAGAAAATACCAGACTCCGCCTGTCTCCATTTCTTCTAACTCGAAACAATGGCGAATACTTCAAAGACAGTTCCTCAAAAGGAGAAAGCTTCCTCCTCCTCTTCCCGGCCGGTCAAACTTGTGGCGCCGGCCTTCCACGAGATTATTCCCGGCCCCTGCGTTATAAAGAAAGACTTCAACATTGAAAATCCCTCCGCAATCCCTGGTCGATGCAAGCATGTGTCCCGATATATCAGTTCAATAACGAAGAAGCATCTCAAAGCCATGAAGAAAGATTGTGGCTGGGGGGACGAGGTCGTGGTACAGATCCCCGACCCCGAGGAAAGCATTACTACTCATGTGGAGGGTTTTTTTTTTTAAGTGTTTACACTTACCCCTTCACACTGGGTCCCCTTGATCCAATCGTGATTGACTTCTGCAAAAGATATCAAGTCACCCTCGGCCAGATCCACCCCTCTTTCTGGCGTATCGTGATTATGCTCCACTACTTCTCTAGCAAGGCCGAGGGATTAGAGTTTACCCTCAATCACCTCATCCGATTGTATCGACCTCAACTTTTCCGAGGGTTGATCAAGCTCCAACGTCGATCGAGCAAAGCCTTCTTCGCTAGTAGTGACGAGGATAAGGACCGAAGCTGGATAAGCCGATTCGTCCGAGTGAGGACCTCGGACGTCATCCCCGAGGGAAAAATGTCGTTCCCAAAGAAATAGAACCCCAATCGTAAGTGAAGTTCTTTTTCCAGTATCTTCTTTTATTCTGTTTCCCCATTTTATAATGCCTTTACCTTTTTTGCAGCTGTTGCTTGGATGCCCCATGTGATCCTTGACCTCGAAGACTGGGTCCGAAAGCTGGCTGCAACCTCCTCATATGACGAGCGCAAATGACGTGATTTGTCGAGGGGCAAATGGGAGGCCAAACACCACGGTTAGTTCTTCTCCCAGGTCTTTTACGCTTTCCCTTTTATTGGAGGTTTTGTCTTACTTATGCCTATTTTTCATTTATGCAGGCATTGGAGATGTCTCCGAAATGAGGCCATCCCCGCCCAGGGAAGAGACCGAGTCTCAGATTCCGAAATCAGGGAAAGATAATAAGAGGAAAAGAGCTTCGAAACCCGAAGACCCCCAAAATATGAAGGCCCCTGATCGAAGGCAAAGGAGGAAACTCATTCAAGTGGACATAGATTTAATCCATCAACTGAATGACAAAGAAGAGGACGAGGGCGAAGAACCGACGTTGGTGACCCGAACCAGGAAGTCAATTGAGGCCGTCAAGCCCTCGGAACCGGAAAACCTGCCTTGTGAAGAGGAGGCTCTGAAGAAAAATGCGGGCAAGGCCCCCGAATCCCTGAGATCGAAATTATTCCTCCGTCTTCAACAAGTATATCAAAGGGAGCAAGTACCGAGACCCCTGAGGCTGAACTGAGCTGACAATAGGTCACTCCCCTCCTCTACCATCTTATTCTGAGGAGGCAATAAAGGAAGCTCAAGCTCTGCGAACGCCCGACCCTAGCAGAGTCCTTGGTGAAGAAGACCATTTTCGGGATTGCTTTACTGGGGTCGATGATGCCGTCGACCTCAATGATGCATCTACCCTCTTTGAAGAGGCTCATCGTCTCTTCTCTCGGGTAAGCATTAACTCTTAATTGTTGCAATTTTTTTTTCTTCTTCTTTTACATTAACTGATATCTCTTTTTTCTGTTTAGGCCATTACCAAGTTTAGGGCCGAGCTGAGCCAATGTGAGGCCGAGCTCAAGAAATCCTCGAATGAATGGAAGGCCCTAAGGCTCCTTTGCAGCCAAAAGGAGGAGGAGCTCAAGGACCTTGGGGCAACTTTGGCTAAAGCTCGTCAAAATGAGGCCGAGCTAGACAAGCAGGTAACCATCATTTTGCAAGAGTATGGTCTAGTTGACCCAACTGTGGAGGCTAACACTTCAGTGTCTCAGCTACAGCAAAAATTGGATATGATCGGGCAGCTTCAAAGGGAGGTCGACCAAGTTAAGGCCGACTGCAACCAGTGGAAGGAAAACATGGATCGGCTTGCTGGTGAGAAAGAGGTTGCTCTGGCCAACTTGGCCTTGGCTGAGACCCAGCTCCGGGGAGTCAAGTAAAAAATATGGCCCAGGCCAAGAAAATTGATGAGCTCGAGGCCAAACTTGCCGCAATCGAGGCTGAGGTTGCTGAGGCCCGAGCCGAGGTCGAGAAGATGAAGGCCACGGCTAACAAGACTTTTGTTGTGTATCTAAAGGATGCCGAGGCTGCTCAAATAGAACTAAGGGAAGCCTCCAATCGGGAGAAACGAATAAGTGATTTGGCCAAGTGCCAATCCCGGAGGGAGACCCTCAAAGAAATTCATGCTCGAGGCTTCGACCTCACCGAGGAGATAGCCCAAGCAAAAGCGCTCGAGGTCGATGCCAAGTTCCTCGTCTCCTCCTCTGACGATGATGATTATGAAGGCAGCCAGAACGGGTCCGATAATGAAGCTGGGTTCAAAGAGAAAGCTGCTCCCGAGGGAGAGACCAGACCTGGGCATAGATAGGATTTTTCCTTTCTTCTTGTATTGTCTTTTTTTGTAAGACCTTTCATCGGTCCCTTGTATATATCTTTTTCCAAATATATAAAAGAATAATTTCCTTGATTGTTTTCTCGATATTTCCTGCCTTGTAAAATTCTTGCAATGACTTCATCCCTTTTTGACTGTGTGTTTGAGATTTTTTCTTCGAAATTTCCATGGCCGAGTTCGAATAAGTTCGAGCTTTTGGTCATAGACCTATACGGGCTCATGCCGGATAATGATCAAGCCATTATTAGTTTAGGCATGGGATAATCGAACCTTTGGGTTCGGATTGAGTGAGAGCGAGGTCTCGAACCATATTTGTATCATCCTTTTAGGCTTACCGAATCGGCTCTTAGGCTCTTTTATATTGGCCCTTAGGCTCTTTAAGTTGGGCCAATTTGGCCTCTAAAACGGCTATAATTTTTCCCTCTTTTCGGCTAAAAATCTTAGTGAACATTTCTTTATGCCTTAGCATGTGTTTTTTGTACCCATTGGGTTTTTCGAGGGTTGAATCGGTCAGAACCAAATTTTTTCTTAACCCGTTTGTGTTAAGATAGTTTGATACCTCTTGAGGCTTTTTCGAAGGCTGATACTATCGAAGCCTTTAGATTATTCGAGGGCTGATTTTATCGAAGCCCTTTTTTGTTTGCTTTGTCGAGGGTAGCCTTATTTAACCGGTTTTTCAAAGTATTTGAAGGCCTTTAACTTATGGCGAAAGTCGGACGTCTCCGAGCCGTATTATTTCGGTCATAGACTTTTTATATGACCGTAGTCTTTAATATAGCCGTAGCCTTCGGGTGTGTCTCTTGGACTTATTTCCCGATAACCTTTCGAACTTGCCCGAAAGGTTAGTCCTCGAGTGTGATGGCCTTGGCCTTTGCATCGAGGGATGCCTTTTTGAGGTCTTATAAATTTGAGCTTAGATATTCGAATGTGTTAACTGTCGATGACAGTCCCCGAGTATTTGAGGTGTATTTGCGTTTTGGCCCTTGGTCGTTTCTCACAGAATTGCGAGCATGGAGATCGTATAGTAGCAAATTTCTTTGATTCACAAAATGTTTCGATATAGAAAGAATGCTTCTTTGAATAATTGATACATGCGTACATGTTTTGCCATGGGGGCTCGACTATTCTATATTGACACGGGTCATCCGACCGTTTGCCCCATTACAAAGTTTTTCTATCGAGACCCTCTTTGGCGTGAAGTATTTTCTTTGAAAATATATCCTCCGAGGGTGATGCCCCCCAGTATTCGAGATTGATTGAAAAGAAGCCTTGGATGCTGTTGAATTCTCCTTAGGTAGAACATAGTTGTTTCGTCGTTAAAAACCTCGCCGGAAAAACCCATTTGGGATAAAACCCGATCTAAGGGAAAAAGAGTGCAACGCGTGCTTTAAAACCTAAGGTCTTCGTGTATAAGGGTTCCCTCGTTGTCTTCGATCAAACATCTGCAATGAGATAGTCTTAAATACACAATGGAAAAAGGAGAAGGTCATACCTTAGCAATAATACCGTTTGAGTAATGATATATTCAAGTTGTTTGGCAATTGTTCGCCTCCCAGTGTGCCGAGCTTGTAAGATCCTCACCGATAACTCCGATGACTCGGTATGGTCCTTCCCAATTCGGGCATACTTTCCCTTCATTCGGGTCTCGAGTATTGAGGGTGACTTTCCGTAGAACTAAGTCCCCGATTCCGAAGTGTCGAAGGTTAGTCCTTCTATTATAATATCTCTCGATCCTCTATTTCTGCGCCGCCATGCGAACAAGTGCAGCTTCTCGTTTTTCATCTAATAGCTCGAGGCTGGTATTCATAGCCTCGTGATTTGACTCCTCCTATGCATGTCAAAATCTGGCGCTGGGTTCCCCGACCTCGACCGGAATCAAGGCCTCGGAGCCGTATACTAACGAAAACGGGGTCGCCCCCCGTGCTGGACTTCGATGTCATTCGATATGCCCAAAGAACCTCGGGTAGAACTTCTATCCATTTTCCTTTTGCATCGTCCAACCTCTTCTTTAAGTTCTGAATGATAGTTTTGTTTGTTGACTCGGCCTGTCCGTTCCCGCTCGATTGGTATGGTGTTGATAAGATCCTCTTTATTTTGTGTGCTTTGAGGAACTCCGCTACCTGTTGCTGACGAATTGCTTCCTGTTGTCACAGTCGATTTTGGCAGGTATACCGAATCGACACACGATGTGATCCCAGATGAAGTCAATAACTTCTTTTTCTCTGACCTTCTCGAAGGCCTGTGCTTCCACCCATTTAGAAAAGTAATCAGTCATAAACAAAATGAATTTAGCTTTACCTGGGGCCGTTGGTAGAGGGCCGACGATGTCCATTCCCCATTTCATGAAAGTCCATGGGCATAGGACTGAGTGAAGTTTCTCTCAAGGGATGATGAATCATTAGTGCAAACCTTTGACATTTATCACACTTTTTATCAAACTCTTTAGTGTCTTTTTCCATGCTATCCCAGTAATACCCTACTCTAGTAATTTTGCCAATCAAGGACTCAGCAACGGAGTGATTCCCACAAGTGCCTTCGTGGTTTTCTCGTAGAACATAATTGGTGTCCCCCGGCCCTAAACATAGTGCCAACGGTCCATCGAACGTCCTCCTGTATAATGTTCCATTTTCATTCAATGTGAACCTAGCAGCCTTGGTTCGTAGAGCCCTCGATTCTTTATGATCCGAAGGGAGCTTTCCACTTTTCAAATATTCGATATACTTATTCCTCCAATCCCAAGTCAAACTTCTAGAGTTTATCTCGGCATGACCCTCCTCGACCACAGATCTCGATAATTGGACGACAGTCCCCGGGACGATATCATCTTCATCAACTGATGACCCCAAGTTAGCAAGTGCATCGGCCTCACTGTTTTGTTCACGAGGCACATGATTTAGAGTCCACTCCTTGAAGCGGTGCAAGGTTACTTGTAGCTTGTCCAAATATCTTTGCATCATATCCTCTCAAACTTCGAAGCTTTTGTTTACTTGGTTCACCTCCAAAAGAGAATCGCACTTGGCTTCAATGACTTTTGCCCCCAAGCTTTTAGCTAGCTCGAGACCTGCGATCATGGCCTTGCACTTGGCCTCATTATTAGTCAACCTGGAAGTTTTGATATATTGTATAATAGTACTACCTGTCGGTGGCTTCAAAACAATGCCAAGCCCGGACCCTTTCACATTCGAGGCACCGTTCGTGAAAAGGGTCCATACCCCCGATGATGTACCCGATTTTAGCAGAAGTTCTTTCTCCACTTCGGGTACGAGGATCGGCGTAAAATCGGCCACGAAGTCAGCTAGGATTTGAGACTTGATGGCCGTTCGGGGTTGATATTCGATGTCGTACCCGCCAAGTTCAATGGCCCATTTGGCTAATCGGCCCGATAGCTCGGGATTATGTAAAACATTTCGAAGGGGACAAGTGGTTAACACACATATGGGGTGACATTAAAAATATGGCTTTAACTTTCTAGATGCGCTTATTAATGCAAGTGCTAATTTTTTTAAGTATGGATATCTAGTTTCAGTATCTCCTATAGTTCGGCTTACGTAATAGACAGGGAACTGCGTACCTTGCTCTTCCCAAACTAGTACCCCACTTACCGCTATCTCGGACACAACCAAATATATGTAAAGGTTTTCATCTACCTTCAGAGTATGAAGCAGAGGTAGGCTCGACAAGTATCGCTTCAATTCCTCCAATGCTTGTTGGCATTCCGGGGTCCATGCGAGATCATTTTTCTTTTTGAGCAAGGAAAAGAACCTGTGGCTTCGATCTGATGACCTCGAAATGAATCGACCCAAGGCGGCTATTCGTCTTGTTAGCCTTTGCACGGCTTTCACACTACCCACGATAGCAATATCTTCGATGGCCTTGATCTTATCGGGGTTGATCTCGATTCCCCGATTAGATACCATGAAGCCGAGGAACTTGCCCGAGCCGACTCCGAAGGCATATTTTAATGGGTTAAGCTTCATGTTGTACTTCCTCAAGATTTTGATTGTTTCCTTCAAATGAGTTAAATGGTCCTTTGCGCGCACGGACTTAACCAACATATCGTCAATATAAACTTCCATTAATTTACCTATCTATTCCTCGAACATTTTGTTAACTAAGCGTTGGTATGTAGCTCCAGCATTTTTTAGCCCGAAGGGCATTACATTGTAACAATACGTTCCAAACTTAGTGATAAACGAGGTCTTCTCCTGGTCCTCCGGGTTCATTTGAATTTGATTGAACCCGGAGTAGGCATCGAGAAAGGTAAGGATCTCGTGGCCAACCATGGCATCGATCATGCGGTCGATGTTAGGCAGTGGAAAGGAATCTTTTGGGCATGACTTGTTCAAATCCTTATAATCTACACACATTCTAAGTTTGTTCCCATTTTTAGGGACTACAACTATGTTGGCTAACCACTCGGGATATTTCACCTCCCGAATGGACCCTATCTTAAGAAGTTTAGTTTCCTCATCATTTATGAATGCATGCTTCACCTCGGACTAGGGCCTTCTTTTTTTCTTTACTGGCTTGAGTTTGGGGTCGAGGCTCAGCCGGTGTGTTGTTATTTCCAGTGGGATCCCTGTCATATCTAAATGGGACCAAGCAAAACAATCCATATTATCGATAAGAAATTGAATGAGTTTTTTCCTGAGTTCGGGGGTTAGCCCCGTTCCCAGGTATACCTTTCTCTCGGGCATATACTCGACCATTATGACCCGTTCCATCTCCTCGACCGTTGACTTGGTTGCATCTAACTCTTCAGGAATAACGAAAGTTCGAGGAGTAAGGAAATCCTCCTCTTCTTCTTCGATTACCTGTTTCTCTAGTTCGGTCGAAGCTGGGGACGATGATTGCTATTTGGCCGTCTGCTTATCTTTGGTGCTCGATTTTCCTGGCCAAAGATTCTGGTATTGGTGTCACCTCATCGACTGCAAACATTTCCTTTGCAGCGTGTTGTTCTCCATAAACTGTTTTCA